GCGGGCTGGGGAATCCTGGGAGTTGAAGTCCACTCATCTTAAAGTGGCCAAGTTTGGACAAGACTGACTGAGGGGAGATGTTTCAGTCCTGGTGCAAACCTGACTTGACTTTCCTCAGCCTGAGTCCTCTACTCTGTCCTATCTCTCGGCCTCAGATTTTAATTCTCCCATCTCCATGGCGTTAAGCTTATAGCCCCAAGCCTGTTGCAGCTTGTATATAAGGAGTAAAATGTACATAGAACTATTTAAGATACTTTCCTCCGTGTTGGCTGCCTGCCTGCCTGCGTGCGTGCTTGCACCTTGTGTCTTTCTCTTCTTCTTCAGCCATGGTTGAACGCACCTGTTGTCCTTTTCCTTCTCTTCCACAGCCGCAGGAGGAACGAACAAGTAATTGGATGGTTGTAAATAAATAAAGTAGCTATTCCATACCTGAGCGTTTTGGAGGGCAAGCTGTTGTCTCGTGGTTTTTCAGAATGGTTCGAGCCAAATGAAAGGAAACGGAGAGATTATTTCCTTCAATTAGAAAATGGCAAAAAGGGTTCCTGAGTTTCTTTTTGTGACGTGATCCCTTGTCCTGTTCCCCCATAAGATCTCAGCAAGGCTCACTGAAACAAGTAACTTGTAGCCCTGATACCTTCTCCTTGATCCTCCAGATCTCCCACTAGTTCTTGTCTCACCTTGGATGTGCACGTGTGATTACCGTGCAAAGGTTAATCCCGTCCTTGATGCAGACACATCGCCTTCCATTCCTCCCATATGGGCTTGAGCTACAAGGGACCCTTCCCAGGTTGAAATCTAAAAATCTTTTGCCTCCCCTGCTAATATGGCTTCCCAGAATACACCTGGGCGCTGCTTGGGTTTTTTGTTTACCTGTCCAAGCACTACAGTTGTTAAGACCTGCCGTCATCCTGAGATCCAACAGCGTTAGGAGTGGGGCAATAAGATGATGGGTGGAAAAGGACCTGGTTAGAACGGTGGGCCCATCAATCCAAAGGCAAATCAGCTTAACTCGGGAACAAGGCAACATTTAGCACAGGCTGAGGGTGTAGTTTTGGGAATGCTGCTGGCCCACGTTTTGCAGGTGGTTCCCAATTGTCCCAGAAGGTCATTCTTTCAATGTTGAAAACGGAGGCATTTGGAATAGAAATGAGACAGGCTCTATTGATTTATATTTTATAAAAGGGAAGTTTAATGTTTTCTGTGAAAGTATGTCTTGGTGAGCTACAGCCTTCTCAAAGCAGCAAGAGGAAAAGAAAAAAGAGGAAGAAAGGCTACATGTTAATGAGGAGCAACATTTAAAATAAGGTGGAAGACAGGTGACATGAATATGGGTGAGGTAAAGCCCCCATGTAGACTAGTCGCTTAGTCTACAAGCACTAGAAACAAGACTACAGCGTGATACTTGCTATGTCAGAAATCATCTGCTGCTTTTAATAGCTTTGGGAAGGAGATCATATGGCACATATCCCGGTCCATCCCCACCTTTCAAGCCATCTTCTCTGGGGGCTGCTTGGTCTAGTGGGCTTGTGGAATGGAGGAGTTTCAAAGCAAGACCTTATTCCCATGCTCTTTTGCTAGCCCCGAAATGGTCTTGCAAAACTCCTGAGAAAGGCACACCTTTAGATTGTAGAACCCTATTAACCATCTGGGATGGCCCTACCATATGGAGAAGAATACAGATTCAAATCCTGATTCTAGAGGGATTGAGTAGTCATGGATATACAAATAATTTTAGCTCTGATTTTCTTATCCCACTCAAGCTGTAACAGACTTGGCCCCTCGTTTGCATACATCACAGAGCCACGTACAGGGTGATGGGGCAGTGGTCACTCCCCAAGGCTGTGGAGCGGATCTTGCTGTCACACAGCCCTTCCAGAAGCCCCTTGGAGACCACAAAGTAGTCAAGCCGCCAGCCCACATTCTTAGCCCGGGCGTTCATCATGTAAGTCCAGAAGGTGTAGGCATAGGGTGTGTTGGGGTAGAGGTGGCGGAAAGTGTCGATGAAGCCAGCCTCCAGCAGTTGGGTGAAACCAGCCCGCTCCTCTGGAGTGAAGCCAGCATTTTTCTTATTACCCTTGGGGTTCTTCAGATCGATCTCTTGGTGGGCTACATTGAGGTCCCCACACAGGACAAGGGGCTTGCGGGCAGCCAGACCTTGCAGGTAAGAGCAGAAGGCCACATCCCAACGTTGGCGGTATTCCAGGCGCACCAGTCCCCGACCGGCATTGGGCACGTAGGCTGTCACCAGGAAGTAGGAGGGGAACTCTGCTGTGATCACACGGCCTTCTTTGTCATGTTCTTCCTCACCTGTAGCAATAAGACAGATTTAGGAGAAGGTTGATTTGAACAAGCACAGCTAGTGGAGGACATGTTAGGTTCAGCCTTTCCCAGTCTGGCGTCATCCACATGAGAACCCTCAGAATTCCCAGTATGGCTATCAGATGGGAATTCTGGGAGTTAGAGTTTAACTGCACTATAACAAGGACAACAGGCTGCAGAAGGGTCTCATAATTGCTGGAGGAAGAACAGACCAAGCTTTTGGATCATGCATGCATCCAGAAATGGTGCTTATGAATATTGAAGAATGGACATTACGTCGTCAATATCCTGGGCTGGCATTAAAGCACATTCAACTAAGTCCTGGAGGGAGTGTCCAGGCCATTAAGGAAGATCTCCCTTTAGCTGGTAAGGTGACTTTGCATTTTAAGGAAGGAACCCAGGGCTCTTCAGCCTTTTGGGGCACCTGCAGAATTCTGAGAACATGGCGCAGGTGCTCTCACAAAATGGCTTGTACAGTGGGTACGACCACCTGCAAAATGTCTTTTACTGGAAGGCAATCTGGAGAGGCTGCTTTTCCACCCAAATAGGCCTTAAGAATGCTCTCTCCTATCCCAGTTTACCTCTGCCTTTTTTTTTTCCCCAAAACGGGGGCACATTTTCCAAGACAACAAGGATTCACCGTTTTTGTTTTTTAAGAGGATAATTCAGGAGTCTAAGAGGAACTGAGATCCTAAAATGGGGAGGGAGAAGTCCTTACCAATACCATAGGTGACATCCAGAGGCTTGGTCTTGGAGAGCAGGGCCACACCACTGTAACCCTCCTTGTCATCAGAGCAGGCCCAAAACTTATGGGGGTATTCAATCAGATCCCGAACATCAGCAGGCAGCTGCTTTTCTGCACACTTTGTTTCTTGTAAGCAGAGCACATCAGGGTTCTCCTTGTTTACCCACTGCGGGGAAAATAAAAAATTTGACATCAGCTCTCCCAGCCTCTACCTCTTACAGAGCAGAAAAAGTGGGCTTTGCAGATTAAAAGGGGTAACAAAATCTGGCAAAGAGTAAGGTTTGGCCTGCTGACAGATGTTACTAATGGCATGGAACGTGACAGAGTGAGCCGATGCTGTCATTGAAATCTGCATTTCTACTCTTCTTGCTATACAGTTGCCTGGGTGACACCGAGCGATAATTTTTAGCAAAGGAGGAACTCAGTAACACTGCAACTGTATGACACCTTTCTGCCAATACCCTCAAGGCAATTTACAATTAAACGAACGCCACAAAAATGAAGCTGTACAATGTCAGAGGAGAAAGGGGATGGGAGGTCCTGTTGTGTTTTCAGAGAATTATCCATTCTGACAAAGTCTCCAACCCTTTCATAAACTTTCTTCCCAACCTTTGGTTGGGTTGGGAAGACTACAAACACTTTGCAAGTCTAAGGGCTGTCTATTCTTGAGACAGATAATATTAGAGGGATAAGAATCTGTATATAAAAGAATTATGTTCTCCTATGTTTTGTATACTTTATTTTTCTAGTGGGAAACTTTGTAGAACCGGTCACAGACCTCACTATAAAACAGATGCATCCTCTGGCTTATTTGGAGGGAAGAGAATATAAAAACACCACTGCCTTAATACTTCAACCAAGCTGGCTTCTGGCTGCCTGTAGCTCCCTGGGGACTGCCTGTTCCCTTCCCTACCTCTGGTTACTATGCCACAATATTTTCTAACTGCTTCTTGATCAAGAAGGATTGATCCCTTGCAGGTCTGCAGCAACGCAGAGGCTGTTTTCGTTCGAGATCCACAATGAACTACAACAAACACAGCCTTCCCCAGGCCAAGTCCCCTCCAGATGTGTGAAATTCAGCTCCCAGGAACCTCACCGAGGACCCTGCCGGATGAAGATCTCTAGGAACTGAAGCTCACACCTCTGGAGAAGGCCCAAGCTGAACCAGGATGAGCAAAGGGTGTTCTGCAAATAGTCAAATAGGTTATGACAGGAATGGAGGAGACAGATACCAGATGCTCTCCTTACAAAGCCATCAATGGCAGAATTTCTCTAAAGCTAAGTCCCCAACCTGGCACATTTCATATATTGTAGTTTAGTCCAGCCTCCTCTAGCCTGACATCTGCCAGATGTTCAGACCATAATTCCAAACAAGCAATCTTCACGCATTTGGAGAGCAGATATGGAGGATTGGGAATGCTAAACTAAAACAGTTGAAGGTTTTTAGCTTGGATAGAAAAATAAGCCTGCAGTTATATTGTGGAGAAGGCAGATAAAGAAGGATGTGTAATTTTTTTCTCCCTTCCCTCAAACAGCAGCATTCAGGGATCATCCAACAGATTATTTTAGATCCAGGACCCAAGAGCATCTTTTTGCACAACCTGGGCAGATGTGGTGAAATTCACAGCCACAAGCTGAAGCAACGGGCACTTTAAAAGGCTGTGAAATCAATATGGAGGAGGGGAGGGGACAGGTGCTTTGTTTCCAGTTATTACATTTATATCCCCCCCCCACATAAAAATTCTTTCCCAAATTTCTTCTCATGACAACCTTGTGAAGTATGTAGGATAAGAGGTAATGATTAGTCAAAACCAGCTATGAAAGATTTTTTCCCCAGTCCATGGTTTTCCCAGTCCAATCAGATTGGCTTGAGCAAGTGATAGCACCTAGCCAATGTTGGCTAATTAAAAAGTTTAGAAGTCACAACATGAGATGGGTGGCTATATTGATTGATTGATTAATTAAAATAACCGAATTAGAGGGCTCTGGGCAAAACTAAAAAAGTGATCCTACCAAACAGCTTCTATATTGCTGCCCGTATAGGTGGTCCTTGTTTAATGACCATTTGTTCAGCGACTGTTCAAACTTACAATGGCACTGAACGAGTGGTACTTAACAACTGGTCCTTGAAGTGCTAGCTGTTGCAGTGTCTCGCAGTCACATGATTGCAAATTGCAACCTTTCCACAAGCAAAGTCAATGGGGAAGCTGGCAGGAAGTCAGAAATTGTAGTCATGTGAGGTCCTCGCTTAATGACTCTTATGGTCCTCATTTAACAACGGCAACCGGGACTGCCAGAACTGCTGTTGCTAAACCGTGGAGTCGTGATTTTTTGACTTATGACCATGTTGCTTGACAGAATTTCCACTGCCAATTAGCGCCATTAAATAAGGACTACCTGTAAAATTACATGGATGTGTATTCATTAGGAGTCAAGCTCAACTTGGCAGAAATTTTACAACCCCCCCACCTCTGGATCTAGTTTCCCTGCTATGTGATGTCTACATACAATCTCCATTTTTAAGACATTCTCTCTCCGACTTTTGGGTGAGGGTAGAAGAACAGAAGAAGACCACTGCAGTCACACCAACATGAAAGGAACCAGTTGGCCACTGTAAGAAAACAGAAGGCTGGACCCTCCTTCTGGGTTACCTCCAGGCCGCCCTTCTTGAACCAGGCTCGGATGCCATCTACGTTCCAAGAAGTGACCTTCAAAGTATATTTTTTGCCACTGGGTGAAGTGAGTTTATCAGGAGGATCTTGGTACATGATCGGACCATCGGCTTCTTTCTCTGCTTTTGCTCCACCTTTCTTAGCCTTTTTAGGCTCTGGTTCTGATGGAAAGAGAAACAACACACAGCATTACAGGGAGAGGGAAAACATGTTTCCTTGTTTGATGAAAACTGGACTCCACTGGATAATCAGGTAAGACTGATTTGAAAATCTGGGTCCTTTTCTTCTTTCAGCCACTGGCAGAAACACATCAACGTAGGTAAGATCTTGGGGGGATGGGGGACAGACTTGCATGAACTGATTAGTTCTTCATTTGCAGAACTGAGGTCATGTTCCAACCAAGATTGGGAAAAGACAGCGATGTCATCTAGGAAGGGAGGGGCTTTTATTATCTCCAGGCCTATGAGTTCTCCCACTCCCATGCCTGCCATCAGATTCCTGATTGCTTTACTGCAGTGTTTCTCACCCTCAGCTGCTTTAAGAGGTGTAGACTTCAACTCCCAGAATTCCCGGCCGGCATGCTGGCTGGGGAATTCTGGGAGTTGAAGTCCACACCTCTTAAAGCAGCTGAGGGTGAGAAATGCTGCTCTACTGTGATCTGCTGGATTTCTCTGTGTATGAAGGTTTGTATTTTAAAGCAAACTTGAGCTAAGGGACAGCATTCAATCATGCAACCTTGAACAATCATAAGCGATACAATTCTGCCCTTATGAAATGTCACAACTTCCTTGATTCACTGGGCCCAGGGCTTCCTTCCATTTAATTCTCCCCCTTCCTCTACTCGAAGCAGCAGAGAGAAGATACACATTGGTGGTTCATCATGCAGAGGCCAAAAGCACTGGTTTTGCTGCAACGAAGTCTGATAAAGTCCAATCTCTGGGTCAGGGGGGAAGGGCTGAAGGAAACAAGAGGTCATTCAGCAGAGAGGGGGACTTGAAAGGGAAAGGAGCACCAAGGGACCTCAGATCCAAAGGATGACATGCTACAGTGCAAAGGAGCACAGAATGAGGGGCACCTCCCTTTCTCAGATCAATCCCAGGTTTAATGCTGGGGCTGATGTCCACACCTGCTGCCTCCTTCTCCACCGGAAGGACTTCAACTTCTTTCTTCTTCCCTCGTTTTGGCATTGCAGGGCTGCAAGTGACTCTCAGATGAAGGATCTGGCTGCCTTGCTTTGCAAATGTTAGGCTTCTCAACAGTAGTGCCTCCTGGAAAAGATGAATCATCGCCATGTATGCCCATACTTACAACCAAACAGGCTTTCTTTTTGCCCCAGAATATCCTTACTAACTTCTCCTCCTCCTCCAAAGACATCTAGAACAGCACCACCCTGTTCCTCTCTTCCATCAGCAACCCACCTTCTTGACCCCATGGAAATGACTTTTTGGTCACCTATTATATCCATTTGCAAAAAAATATCTTCCAAACTAAAGCTTCTATTCTCAGAAGAATAAATTGGGTTATATAAGGCTACAGCAGTTTAACTGGCTGATGTTTCTTTTGGCTAACAGCAACTCTCCAGAGTCCCTGATGAGAACAGAAGGCAGGAGCCAATCATAACCTTGATACTGAAGATGCCAGGAACTGCATCTCTGACCCGCACATGTAACACTTTCCTCAAAGCAAATGATGTGATAAAGTCTGTCCCCCAAACTCCAACTCCTTTGTAGGAGAAACAGTGGATGAGGGACAGCCTGATCCAGCCACTTTATTTTCAAACAGGATCAAAGTATCCCAGCTGATCCAAAGTCGAACAAAAGCCAACCATGTACAGTAATTCAGCTACTAAAAATAAAACTAAGGCTGTTTTATCCTGCAGAACTAGAAGCACAGCGAGACAAAGTTTCCAATCATTTTGTACTGATGGGGACATTTATAATTTCCAGTATATTGTGAGCAACCTCCAGCTAGGGGCAAGGCCTGAGTATTCAGAAAATTGTTCTCTAGATACTTCTAGATCCCTTTAAAACGTGGTGCCAGGCTGCAGCATTCTGCTGTTTTTTATTTTCTAGGAATGCCTCTGAGTCCCAACAATACAAATGAAGTTAGAGGCTGGCTCTTTTCGTTGCAACATGCCTGAAAATAAAGATGATGCTGGAGGCTGTTGCTCTGTAACACACCGGCTTCTCTATTGTTGTTATTCCAGTTCATGAGTTATCACACACTTTAATCATGATACTGCAGGATCTACTGTTTACATATGAACTTCCAAACATAAAATAAAGGAACTGTATTTCTCACTACAACATTATCATAGCCCTGTCAAAGGGCTATAAATTATATTGCAGAAGATCTCCACTAGCCACTTTTTTTTCTCATGTTGGTTCTTTATCAAAAAAATCTGGTTCTCATTTTTTCTCTGTACCACAAGCTCATTTCTTAGGGCTATAAATTCTTTGAAAGGTCGGCTTTAAAAAGCAACTTACTAATTTCCATTTATTTATTGCATTTATATAGCTGCTTCTCTGAGGTTTTAAGACAACTTTATACACAGCCTCTCCCTTTTGGTATTATTTTATCAAAATAGTGAAATAAAAGAATAGAGTCTATACTCAATAGTGATTATGCAGGGAAGGAAAAAATCCCTACATATGTGATAGTGATTAAATAATCTAAACATTTAAAAATCCCTAATTAACACGAAGCAAAAATATATTATCAATATAAATGCCTATATGGAATTAATTCACTCATTAAGCTTATTAAATCTAGACTGTATAGCAATGTACCATATCATCTTCTCAATGTTAGGTCACAAAGAGTTTTCAGAAATTAATAACAAACTCATATCCCAGTTCCACTCCCAGGAGCCTGACTTTCCAGTTTCATAGGATTATCCTCTTTGCTATAGCTCTTCATCAGGTGACAAATTCCTTGTTTGTGGAATATAATTCAACCACACAGGAGGATCCCTAAATATATTTTTCCCAAAGTTATATTTATATGTTGATTTAAAACCAAATCAAATATGGAAAAAGACCAAACCCTATGAATTAAGGAACCTTCCATTTTTTAAATTGCCAAGAGAAGAAATCCAATGCCCATCTGGAATGTTTTGAAACATTCCAAAATAATATTATCTGATAATTTCATTTTTCAATCATAGGAGGCGTGTTTTACATTTTTTAAAAGTGGCCTCTTCTAATTTTATCCCCAATGGTTTCGGCAGCATCAAAAGCAATGCACCCATACAGTACCAGTGGCTGGGGAACATGGGTAGAGAGGATCGCTTTGCATTCATAACTTGCTCAGAGGCACCTCTTTGGTCCCTCTGGAAAGTGGATACGGCCTCCTCTTAAAGCTACCCCTGCTGAATTTCTACCTGCCACCCACCTCTAAAAGGCACGGGAGGACTTAAAAAAAAAAAGGAAATGCAAAAATGGAAGGCCAAACGTCGACCCTGCCCCTTTGCACATTAAATGCAATTAGGAAAGCCCTATTAAATAATAATTTCATTTTAAACCATGTCTGCTCTCACCACGCCGGCCGCTGAGCTTCCCTTTGGACAACGAAGGAGCTTGGAGAATCCGCAGGAATCGCTGAATGGAGAGAAAGAGAAGCACGTGGAGTGAAGTTGCGTCACGTGACAGAGGCTGAGGGGGCAGGAGGCGGGGCTTCCTGTTAAAGCCAGAGGAAAGACCGCGCCAGAGACGGACTGAGGAAAGGC